TTGCTGTTCTTATGCCGCTCACAGCCATGTTCGAGGCTTGGCTAAGGAGTGTGCTAAGCCCACGCCCAAGCAGAGAAGTTTGTTCAATCGTATATGCAGGGGACGGCACCCGCAGAGGGATGACCTCACTGTGGGGCCAGTTCCGTGGTGCTAATCTTTCGCCTCGTAGTTCATGTCAAAAAAATGGGGGCCATCTTGGCCGTCTTGGAGGCCGTCTTGAGCCGTCTTGGAGAATTTGTTGCGGACGTTGAGGTCGTTTGCGGGCCTGGGCGATCCGCCCGGGACCCCGGCGGGACGGGCCCAAGCCCCAGGGGGGAGCTCTTTTGGAAAAGAACCAAAACCGAAATCGTCCAGCACGCCAGGCACCCCTGCGATGAATCGACAGGGGGCGGCGGATCGAAGACGCCTACGGCGAATCACCGCCGCCCCCTGCCTTTTTGGAAGCGCCTATGTGGCCGAACGTTGAGGCCAGACCTGCCAAGCTATCGGACCATGTGTTCCCCGAATCGGTTTGGAAAGCCTTCGGGGAACACGTGGGCATCTTGAAGGTCCTCTTGGTCGCCTGGAGGCCTTTTTGACCCGTTCGGGCCTTCTTGGAGGATGTCTTGGAGGGCTCTTGGGACGTCTTGGAGGCCATCTTGAGCGTTTTGGAGGCCTCTTGGGCCGTCTTGGAGGCCTCTTGGAGCCGTCTTGGGCCTCTTGGGCGATCGTTGGGGGCACTTGGGTCGTCCCGGGCCGTCGGAAGGCAGAAGAAAAAACAAATGCCACAATCCTTCAAAAACTCATGGGAACTCAATCCTCTTGGAGGCCTCTGGGGCAGTCTTGGGCCATCTTAGGGCCATCTTCTGCCGTCTTGGTGGGCCCCTGGCCCGTCCGACGCCGTCGAAAGCCGTTTGGGTGGCCTCTCTGAGCTGACTTGGAGTCCTCTTGGAATGTTCCAGGGCCGTCTTGGAGGCCATCTTGGGCGTCTTAACAGGCCTCCTGGGCCGTCGTGGGGGCCTCTTGGGGCCGTCTTGGGGGCCTCTAGGGCCGTTCTGGGCCCACCTTGGGGCGATCTTTGGGCGATATTTGGAACTCTTGGGCCGTATCGGGCCGCTGGAAGGCCGAAACGAAACAAATGCCAAAATCTGTCAAAAACCAACGGGAAATGTATGTTTTTGGTATTGTCTGACCTTCCTGGAGGCCCTCTTGGAGGCCTCTCGGGCCGTCTTGGGCCAGCTTCGAGCCAATTTCGGCCATCTTGGTGGGCTCCTGGCCCGTCTGACGCCGTCGGAAGCCGCTCGGGGAGCCTTTCTTGGCCGACTTGGGGCCATCTTGGGATGCTCCAGGGCCGTCTCAGAGGCCATCTTGGGCGTCTTGGAGGCCTCTTGGGTCGTCTTTGTGCCCTCTTGGGGCCGTCTTGGAGGCCTTTTGGGCAGTCCTGAGGCCATCTTGGACGCCTCTTGGGCGCTGTGGGGGCGATCTTGGGGGCCTCTTGGACCATCTTGGGTCGTCGGAAACCCGAGAAGAAGCGAATGCCAAAATCCTTCAAAAACCAAAGGAGGACCTCTTGAAGGCCTCTTGGGCCGTCTTGGAGGCCGTCTTAAACCATATTGGGCGAACTTGGGAGCAATCTTGGGCCATCTTGGAGGCCATCTTGGGCCAACGTGACCATCTTGGAGGCCATCTTGAGGCGTCTTGGAGGATTTGTTGTGGACGTTGAGGTCGTTCGCAGGCTTTCCGCAGGGCCGGCGGGACGGACCGAAGCGCCAGGGGGAGTTCTTTTCTGGAAAAAGAACCAAAAACCAAAACCGAAAGGGTCCAGCACGTCAGGCACCCCTGCGATGAATCGACAGGGGGCGTCGGATCTAGTGGCCTTCGGCCGATTCCGCCACGGCGGCTAGCTTGTAGGTCACGGAAGCCTCTTGGAGGCGGTTTGGGGCCTCTCGGGTGTTTTTTCGGATCCTCTTGGCATTGATAGAGGCCTCTTGAAGGCATCCTGGAGCTTTTGGAGGGCTTCTCGCGGGTTTGCTGAGGCGGTCTCGGAGGTCGTCCTGGGGCAGAGGGCTCGAAATGTTGGTTCGTGTTCCCCCTGTGGGACCTCTCTGGGGCTCCTTTGGGAGCCCTCTTGGGCCCTCTTGGGCCGTCTTGGGGCCCTCTGGGGGCCCTCTTGGAGGCATCTTGGGCCGTATTGGGTCAATCTTGGGGACATCTTGGGCTACCTGTCTTGGAGCGTCGGAAGCCCGAAACGAAATCGCTAAAATCCCCAAAAACTACGGACACCACATGATTGTAATGGCCTTCGGCCAGTGCTGCCGATCCGGTGTTCTGTGGATGTGACCCCTCCTCCTTTCCCCCCCTTTTCCCCCTCCCCTCTGCTCTCTTCCTCCTCTCTCCCTCCACTACGCTCTCCATTCCCTTTCATCCTCCGCCCTATCTCTCGTCTTGCCAGCTCCAGCCCAAAGCCGGCTCCGGGTCCCGGCCTCGGGCTCCGACCCTGACCCCGGCTCCCGCCCCAGTCCTGGCTCTGGGCACGGGCCCCGATCCCGGCCCCGCGCCTGGCTCCAGCCCCGGCCCCGGCCCTGGGTGCCCCCGGCCCTGGCCGGCCGCGGCCCCGCGTCTGGCCCCGGCCCTGGCCCCAGCCCCAGTCCCACGCTCGGCTCCAGCCCGGGCCCTGGCCCCAGGCCCCTGTCGGCCACGGCCCCGCGCCCGGCTCCAGCCCCGACGTCGGCCCCGGCCCTGGCCCCGGCCCCGCCTCCCTCGCCTTCGCTTCCCAGGCTCCCCGCCCCGAAACGGAACAACCCCTTCGCCCCCCTTCCCCTCCCTTCCCCCGCGGAGCGAGCGGGGCGGGCGCGCCCCCCGGGGGGCGGGACGCCCCCCCCCCCTCCCCTCCAGAGCGGGACGGGCCACCCTTCCTTCGGGGGCGGAACAACCCCCTTCCCTCCCCTCCGAAGCGAAACCCAGCCCCCCGCCCCGAAAACGAAAACTGTCGGAACAAGCCCCACCCTTCCCCCCCAGAGCGAAACGAGCCCCCCACCCCTCCGGCCGAAAACCGAACAACCCCTCCCTTCCCCTGCAAAGCGAAGCCAAGCCCCCCCCCCTCTCCGAAAACAGAACAACCCCCCCTCCCTTCCAAAGCGAGACGAGCCCCCCCCCCCCTTCGAAAACGGATCAAACCCCCTCAACAGCGAAACCAAGGCCCCCCCGACAACGGAACACCCCCCCGCCTTCCCAGAGAAGCGAGCTCAAGTTTACGCCCTTTCAAACTCACACGCCGGATCTGCGGATTTGGGCATCCCGGGGCATTCTCGAGGGGTTTCTTCGAGCCCTTTTGGGGTATCTTGGGGGCCTATCGCGCTGTCCGGAGGCCATTTTGGGCGTCCTGGAACGATTTTTCGGCGACGCGGGGCCCCCTTGGGCCGTGTTGGGTACCTCTTGGAACGCGCGACGCGCTCCAAGAAATCCGGCAATTTGGGGTCTGGGCCTTTCAATTTTCATTCACCCAGGACAGAGGAAGGAGAACCCTACGGGACCTGAGGACATTCCAATTCGTGCCGCAGGGCACGGTGTCGTTCCCACTGCGAGGGGATAGTAAGCGAAACACACGCGGCACACCTCGCGTCCCGACGCGTCTGGTGGCGCGACCATCGGGATCCCGGAAGTGGAAAGGGGGGGGACCCGGGGTGTGTGTAAGTTCGATCGCTTTTGCACCGAACCGCCCAAAACAGATGCCCCCCAGCCGCCGGCAGCTCTCGATAGTTGCCGATGGGTGGGGCATACAGGGGGCATCTGTTTGCCGCAGTTCAGTGCATCAACGGATCGAACTCATGCCCCCCCTCAGGGTCACCCCCCTTTCGGTGGATCCTGATACAAGGAGACGTAGGGATCGGCAGCAGGAGGAGTGGAGGACGTTCGACGGAACGAAGGGGCGCGTCGGCAGCAAGGCACCGAGGGGAACACCCGACGGCCAGCCAAAGCTTTGCCGAGCACGGCCGCCCAACAGCGTAGCTCCTGGTGGGCACATACTTCCAAGTAGTTGCACACGTAATGCCATCTTGGCCTTCTTTCGTGAAGGAAGGAAGTGGAGAAGGAGGAGGAGGCGGAGGAGAGTCATCATCATGCTTACGGGGGGAATGCTGATTCGTCAGTCTCGCCTGCTGGCAGGCATGGCAACCAGTGACCCAAGACCTCGGCAATGCCGATCTGTCGCCTGCGCGAAGTCTTGTTCGCGTGAGCCTGGGCGTGTTCTGCGCGCACACCGATCATGCAGGCTGCCGAGAGGAGGAGGAGGAGGAGGAGGAGGAAGAAGAGGAGGTGCAACGGCATCAGCAGGAGAGGAAGGATAATGACGGAGATTCGAACGAGAGGGAAATTGAAGCATTGAGTGACAGCGACAGTAGGTATGTTGTGGCAGACTTGAGGCAAGAGACGACGATGCTTCCAGACGCAGTGAAAGCATTGCTGGTGGTGCCCGCATGCACTGGGCACCGGTTTCAAAGTGCAGAGGACTGAACACTAAGCGGTGTACATCGACAGCTGCTCGCTTGCGACACCTGATGGTGGTAATAGCGTGATGAGGGCGAGGAGTGACGGCAGCAGCAGCATGAGTGAGAGTTGGAGCCAGATGATTGCGATTTCAAGAGCACGCCTCTCCCAGTGTGCCCACATACCATGGATAGACCTGGAAAGCGGCGTGTGCACTTGGGCCCAGAGCCCGGCGGAGCGTTCTCCGTTCGCTGCGCCCCTTTGCATCGAATGGTTGTCCCGTATTCGCGCACTGACAGCTTTTTGGGCGGGGGTCTGTGCCCCAGCAGGCAGCTTGCATTCCCAACGCGTAGGAGAAGGAACACGAGAGCCAGGGGCGGCGCCAGAGAGGCCCAGCGCCGATCCAAGAAAAAGTGCGCGGGCCTCCGAAAATTCACGTGTATGCAGTTTGTTTTTCTTCGGTTATCCTCCTCCGCCTCCTAACTGATCAGATCGGTGGTCGCCAGGGTGCTAGATTGAGTTCAAGTCTGCGGGCGATGGCCGGCGGCCCCCGCGCGGCCTCACAGGTGCGCACCGACCAGCGCAGGGGCCACAATGTAACTTTGGTCCACGGCCTGGAGGGCTACGGAGTCGACCAGGAGGCACCGGAATGCTCACGCACCGAGATGGCAGGGGCGAGATGCAGCGGTGGAACAGAGGGGGGGCGGGTCGAGGCAGAGGTGGGCGAGTAAGATAGGGGAGCGAAGAATGCGGAGGGAGGCTCGAAGGTGGCGATAGAAGCGAAGAGATGAAGGGGAATGAAAGTGAGCGGTGTTTCTTCCTGTTCTTCCTCCTTGTGCAGTAGCCACCCACGGACCGAAGGTTACCACTGCCAACACCCGGCAGTTGCCTCCAACAGCACAGGTCTTGTGCACCCGAGAAGAGCACATCCTCCAAGTTTGGGCTCGGGGGCCCCGCACAGATGCAGGCAGTGAGGATCTATGCTAGCGCGGTTATGATGGGAACAGGGGTACGGCATGCACCCAGTATCTTTCTCGTTCACCTGGAGAGATTATCCTTTCTCAGTGCGAGCGAGCATGCTTGGCACCAGGAGGTGCGCGAGCAGGGAACAGGACAAGGCTGTCGCAGGATGCCTTCAGCAACCGCTTCAAGCCGCCACGGCCAGCTCCCAATCGCTCCTCATCCCTCCGCAGTGGCTCTCGTTGTCCTATCGCCCTTGAGGGCGATGCTGACAGCAAGAGCGCCAAGTCATGGCCGACCCCGCTTTCCCGCAGGCGCTGGCCGCGCGCCCGCCAGCGCCGAGGCTTCCAGGAGTGTCGTGCACCTCTCAAGATTTACATGAGGCGCATCGCAAGGAGCGTACGGTAGGTTCGTGTCGTGTCAACTCGGCGTCGGCCCCAGCGCTGGTGCCCAGGGTTGAGCGCCGCCAGTGGCCCAGAGTCCGCCGATATCGAGAGATCTGCGCTATTGGAGAGCCGCGATCGCTCAAGGTTGAACGATCCGCACGGTATCGAGATCCAGCGCACGAGGTGTCACGGTATCAAGTCGCCAGCAATCAGCTCGCCGCCCCCTGTGTGGCGGAGCTCTGTACGCTGGTTTGCCGCTGCAGGAAGTCCACGCAGTCGCGGATCGCCATTCGAGCATGGTTGACAGGAATTCGCACGAGAGCAGAGAGAAGCGCTCGTAGATCAGGCAGCGTCAGGCCCGTGCTCAAGACGTCCGCCGAGACGCCACGGTGCGCACTATCGCGCGCTCGTGGCTGCCAACGTTCAGGCCTCGATCTACCAGGCCGCCCAGATGGCCTACAGCCAGGAATTGTTGCTTGGCGCGTCGCGCCGCGGGCTCTGGTCCACCACACTTCGACGCGACACGCGAAGCTCGCCCCGGCCCGAGAGCGTCGACGTCCCGAGCATTTCGAAGCTTCCGGCCCCGCGGAGCGCAGCGACACATCGGCTTGCACAGGGCCGCCGCCGAGACGACACGCTAAGCAAAAGGTCCCGACCGTCGTGGAACAGAGATCCTGCCGCCAACAGGGGCTGGTCTTCCGCCCCAGAGGGGCCCGCATCTGGGCAGGGCGCGGTTCAGGCGGCCACAGACATTTTGGGGACAGACCGCCCGATGGCCTCGAGGTCCCGAATACCTCAATGGACGGTCCATCACCTGACGGTTCGGGGACCTGGTAGGCCACAGACGCTCGATACGCCCTCGGAGAACGGCCCCAAGTCCCAAAACGGCCCTCCTCCTCCTCCTCCTCCTCCTCCTCCTCCTCCTCCTCCTCCTCCTCCTCCTCCTCCTCCCCCTCCCCCTCCCCCTTGTTACCGCACTGCAGAGTGGGCCCCCGAGCGGTGGCCCCTCGGAGTGATTTGCTGACGGTTGGTGGCTGCCAGTGCCGGCTTCGCGCGCTCCTCAGAGCAAGCTGTGGGCATGAGCATACAGTCGGGAATTTGGGCTTAGCGTGCCGCTCCGAAAGCTCTGGCCCACCACGCCTCGGCGCGACACGCTAATCGCATCCCCGTCCCCGAGAGTTACCCTCCCGAGCTTTCCTCGGCCTTCCGCCCCGCGGAGCGGAGCGACGCGCTATCAGCTCGCAGGGCAGCATAGCGTGTCGTTGGAGCTGCTTCCGCAACACGCTAAGGAAAAGTTCTTGACCGAACGATCGCAATTTTATTCCACGGTAGCAACAATACACCGCCTCCACGGTCCGACTGCCAACAAGCAGTTCGCTCTTCAAGTACTAGAGGGTGCGACGGGAGCCCGCAGGCAATGCGACCTCCGTCACAGAGGAGAGGAGTGCCCTCGAGGGCAACGTTAGGGGGGATAGGCTCAGGGGGGGGACCCCCAATCGTCCACTCATCGCCGATAGGGGCCCGATGGCCCACCCCGTCCAGGACCGCACGGATTCGCTCTCGGGGGCCTAAAGCCGACCGATCGGCGATGTATCGCCGATTCCAGGTCGATGCTTCCTCCCCTGAGCCGGTCACCCCAGAACCTTCCTTTTCAAGAGCAGTGGCCGAAGCAGGCAAGGCGTGAGCACCACATTGGGCGCATGGCGAATTCTGTCGACCAGATATCCCCCACGGGTTCCTGGCAACAGAGCGTTGCCAAGCAGGTGGAGGCGGAGTCCAGACGACGCAGCACTGCGAGGCCAGGATCTCATGTGTTATCACGTCTTGTTGAGTTAGACTTTTAGTCGAGCTCTTGCGTTCGCCCGCGGCAGGAGCTTCAGCGCACGGGAGGATGTGCTGTGTTCGCGCTGACCTCGGGGTCCAGATCAAAGTGGGCCGCCATGTTCTGTAGAGGGGCTGGGAGGACAGACCTCCAGTCAGATGCAGGCAAGGTTGGCCGTGAGGTCTCCCAGGCAGCAGGGGCTCTCATATCCATAGGGTAATACCGGTAGTTGTCTCTCGCAGTAAGTTTGTTAGACAGCACCATCATAACCAGCGCTGCTCGCAGCTAACCATGGGGGCGTCCTTGACCCTCATCGTGGTCGGCGGTGCGTTCAATTCTGGAGGGCTTGAAGTACCATGTCCGAACTCACCTCCTTGGAAGCAGCATCCTTGCTCTCCGTGGTTCCACGTTAGTTACTCACGCTGGGAAGGCGTCCCCGAGCAGAACGCTGCAGTTATTCCCAACTCAGTGCTTGTAGACACGGCCAATGTTGAGAGCTGACCGTTTGGCTGCTGGAGCAGCCAGCGGCACCGACGTCTTCATGGTTTCCATCGACGCCCACCAGTCTCCCTTCTCCATATGATGTCATTCCTATTCTTCCAGTTCCCAAACACCTTCACTTCCAGGCTCGGCTGGTCACCTCCATTTGACTATTGCTGGCGACCTGAAGCGGAGAGAAGGAAAAGTCTGACTGCATCCTTCAGGCGTTCGCCGCTTGTCTACAAAAGGCTTTGGCATCGAGTACCACAGTGGAGGACCTCCAGCCACGGCTGCTGTTTGTATAATGGGGGCTGTACCAATGTGGGGATGGAGGTAAAGGGTATGAGCCGCTGCCACTGCAGGAAGTGGGTAATGTCAATGTGCAACATAATGTATCCATGTATCCCTCCTCTTCAGGTTCTCTGTGCTCTGTTATATCTCTACATGGGCGAAGATATGCCCGTCACTGAGCAGCGGATGCACGCGTGCAGACATTGTATGTCGATGTTTGTGATAGATGTGTGTAAATGCTCGTGCTTCTTATTATTATGTTTGATAGTGGTGTGTATGTCGAGGAGGAAACAGGGGAGGGAAAAGAATGAATCAAAGGAGGCAGAACGGGAAGGATTAAACACGATGTGCGTCCGATGACATGCGACGTGTCCCGCTCCTCCCGTACAAGATGGGGCATCTGACCTTGGCTACAATGTCGGAAGGGCCTGGACTCGGGTTCGGGCGCGTGCCCGCCGATCCACCGCCTCTCTTCCCGTCATCCTCCGCGCACGATACCCGAGGAGGCAGCGCCAGGGCAGCAGGCGGGCGTGATGGTGCAGGGTCTTTGGGACGTCGCCGTGGGCGAATGGCTCGGGAAGATCGGCATCCCCTCCGAGAGTATACAGCAGCAGGCGCGTCCTGCCCTCGAATTTACCCGTGGGAGGCCAGGAGCACAAGGACGACGAGGGCAAGGCGAGCAGGAGGAGGAGGAGGAGGAGGAGGGACAAAGGGCGAGGGGAACGGAGGAAAAAGCACGAAGTAGGAAGAGCGCGACGGTCGCATCGCACCTGCTCTAAAAAAGAGAAAAGGAGGAGGAGGAGGAGGAGGAGGAGGAGGAGGAGCAGGAGGAGGAGGAGGACGGGGACGGGGACGGGGGGAAGGGGAGGGACGGGGACGAAGCAAATGAAAGAGGAAGAGGAGGAGGAGGAGGAGGAGCAGGGAAGACGGAAAAGGGCGAAGCGCGTGCCTCGGGGTGCTGACCAGGAGAGGGGGGGGCTTGGCGGCCGAGAGCAGACATGATGCTCGCATCGACGCATCAGCGGTCGTTTGGGTCCTTGGCCAGTGTGGCCCTGACTAGAGGGAGCGCCGAGCGTAGCCATGGTCTGGATGGAGCAGGACCAGGACTGCGCCAATGATGAGGCGCACGTCGCTGGCAGGTGCGCTAGCAGGCGCTGGCATTCCGATTCCAGTGCTGTAAGTACAGCCCTGACACGGTCACTGCCTCCTCTTCCGCCTTCCCGTTGCTTCTGTTTGTTTTAGAGTAGTCGTGAAAGTCTGAGCGGCGCCCCAGTTCCACTACAGCTGGATTCTCCCAGCCTGGGAGTGACGTGGCCCGAGCTTTCCCCGCCTGCAGAGTCCAGCGAATAGATTCGGCCAGTCTGCCACTCGGGTGTCTATGTGTTGCATGTTTTGTTGAGGAGCTTCAGACACCCCAGAGTTTTCATGTCATGTCATGTCTCTTGCTTTTCTCTACCCCTGCCCCTGCCATCCGGACCAGAGGCGACCAAGTTGTTTCGCCAACATCGACAAGTCAAATTGAAGCCAGCAACCGTTCCGAGGCCGATTGGCGTGTTATACTTCTGTATGCTGTGCGGGGTAAGCGTTGGTGTCTGTTGCCGCCGCCAGCACAGGCGAAGAAAGGCTTGCAGCAGAAGAAGGTGAAGCAGGCCAGCAACATCGTCAAACATTGAGTGGTTGTCGTAGCCATTCGCCGGCAAAAAGAAACGTCCAAACAAAGTATGAGGAATAATAAACACATATAAACACATAAGTTGGAAGCCGTTTCAAGGGCAGGCCCAGATGACGGTCATTGCACTGTCAATCAGCATACAACAAATCAAAGTTTGTGGAGCCCAGGCAAGGACTTGCAAGTACCTGTCGAATCCAAGCCCAAGCCGTGGAGAGTAAAATTCCATCCTCCGCCGCATCATGCACGTCCTCCTCCTCTCAATCCGCTGTCAGCTGGCGTTCGGGAATGCGTCAGTTGGCGATTGAGAACAGCGACACAGTGGAGGCTACAGCGAGGCCGAAACACGACAAACTTATAGGATTGCACGCGGCTACGGAAGAAAGAGAAGGAGGAGGACGGACAAGGTCCAGGCGGAGGGGACCAGGAGAAGGAGAAGGAAGAAGATGAGGAGTGAGGCGGAAGAGGAGGACGAAAGAGAAGTAGGAGAGATAGAAGGAGGAGGGAGGAGGAAGGTGGAAGGAGGAACGAGACGGAGGACGTGCACAGGCTAGCATATTAGACCAGAAGGCTTTCAGTTTTCGCTCGCCCCTCTGCTCCTGGCAAGATGCCAAATACTGCACCCATCACGGCGAGGACGGGGACTCGTGGAAACAATACCGTTACTGAACGTACCGTTCTACGACAACCAGGCATCTTATTAGATTAAGGATAAGCTCGTTACCGGAATGAATGTGCGTCATCGGAGAGGTGTTCGGTAGTTTCACCATCCGTAACAGAGCTTTGGATGTTGGGCAGCCAATATGTGATATTATGGTTGCTGTCTGTCCCGAGAACCCTCACTAGCAACAGCTTCTTGAAGTTTCAATGCTCCTTGGTTCCAGGACACCGCGCGAACTGCATGATTGTGCACAGTACGTTGAGCTTTTGAATGATCAGAATTATCACTGGAGCCCATTGTCGTTGCAACCGTCACCAGTCGAATTCCATCCCGTCGAACATATCACACTATCGGTAGTGTTACTCGTTGTCCCGCTCGTGACCAGCATCATTGTACGCAATCGATCATATTGGCACAGTGGATTGCATTCACGACCGTCGGTCCTGGAGGTCGTTGATGGCATGGAGAAGTATATGCTTCCGTCGCGGGACCATTCGACGCAGTTGACGCGGGTAATATTCACGGGAGTCGTCCACGCGGTTTGGAGCAGCTCTTATGTCGAATAGGCGCCAGTCGTTTGATGCATGGCAGTGTTCTGCCATAGTGCACGCGATTATTCCCGGTTAGGGTGAACAAGACGGAGCATACCCATGAACCAAGTGCATTGTGTACACGGTTGGCCGATTTATCGTCGACAGCAGCAAGGTAGAATCTCAGATTGTGTCGAAAGGCCATGGCGGAAAGCCATACGCATTTGGAAGTTCAGAGCGCAAGGCAGTGACCAAGTCAGGATATGCGAATATCGAAGTCAGACCAATCGGGGAGAGGCTTCAAGCGACGACGCACGCGATCCTTATAGTGTACGTGTATATACATATATATATAGGGAGAGATAGAGAGAGAGAGAGAGAGAACAAACAAATAAAAAAAAAACAAAAAAAAAAAAAAAAAAAAAAAAAAAAAAAAAAAAAAAAAAAAAAAAAAAAAAAAAAAAAAAAAAAAAAAACGTATGTCTCATATCTACATATGTATATGTGCGTGCACAAGGCTGCATTGACGTTTCGCGCCACGCACCTTTGTCCTTCAAGGTTGGCATGCCGTCGGAAGGAGTGGAAGTTGAAACAATAAAACGACCGATCAGTCTTTGTTGTGTTTGTCTGGCATCGTCGTTATGATAATGCGGCTGGTTTCGTTCCCACATGTTTCCATGTCTTTATTCTCGCCGTAGCTTTCCAACCCTTCCCCATATTCCTCAGCTCCTTTTGCGGAGCTCCTCCCTGGAGACCCTTGGGGGGGCATTTGTTCACAACCATTTTGTGGTGTGTGGTGTTCGGTTTTCGTCTTGAAGAGACAGGGCCCCGCATCCACTCCTCCCGCTGCTCCCTCCTCAGTTCTGCCTCTGTTGTTAGCCCGCCAATTGCGGCACACCCATCACTCGCATCGTCGCCCCACACGGAGCCCCACTGAAGGTCCCAGTGGCATGGTTCGCATGGCGGCACCGCAACCATCCCGGCACACCCTTCACACGTCTCTTGCCCCAAAGGGAGCTCCACCGAAGGCTCAAATGGCAGGGCTCGCATGACGGTACCGCACCCATGCCCGCCCGTCGCTCACCCTCTTAGGAGCCTTTTTGGGCCGTCTTTGGGCGATCTCGGGGTCCTATTGCGCCGTCTTGGTCGGTTGGGAATCCGAAGGGGCGACAACGCCAAAACCCATCCCAAAGCCATGCAGAATCAAGGATTATGCTTCTTGAGAGAAGGGACATACTCAAGAGACATAATCCTTGATTCTGCATGGGTTATGGATACAACAAACCCTGCCCACCCATGTTGCTCCGTGCCTTGCATATGTTGACGACTGTCTTTTTGGAATGGTGGATGTCTTTCCCTCGACTATTGCCGTGTGGCGCATGCCTCTCGTCCTCGAGTCAGCTATTGGGCTGGCGCTCAGCTTTCGCAAGTGCACTGTTCTGATATGTGGGAGGGCTGGGAAGGAGGAGGTCAGTGACATGATGCCCATGGAGGCGAGGGGCTTGGAGTTGGTGGGAGTAAGTTCTGCTATCAAGTGCTTGGGGCTGTATGTTGGCCCAGATGCTGCTGGTATGGCATGGAGTGCCCCGCTGTCGAAAGTTGTTGCAAGATGTGCGATATCCCGACAGCTCGCCCCTGGAGATGCGATGACAAATTCTACCTTTTTGGTAATGTGCCTCCCTGTACTCCACTTTGTCCTCCAAGTTGAACCAGTCACGAAACAGGTCATGCATATATACAATCACATGTTACAATGCCTTACGAATGGCCCATACAATGCGCTCTCGTATAACATGCTCGTCTCGCTCCAGGAGCTCGGGTTCAGTATCGAGTCCCCAGATATTGTTGCTCTTTCGCGTGCCTGCCGCACCCGTATTGCTGTGAAGTGCCCTGGCATTCGCGAGTGTTCGGACGAGCTGCTGAAGCTCACTGAGAGCAACGCAATATGTTATGCCAGAGTTGTCGACCCACGGGGATGGCATCGCAGGTCGTTTTTACCTAAGATGTTTGAGGTGGCGCAGAGTGTCCAGAATATTGTGCAGCTCTCCGATATTCCCCCTGATACTCTCCAACGGAAACTCTACGCCCGTCTCCACGCCCTTCCTCTTCCTGGACCTACGGTGTTTGAAGGCCTTCTGTATCGACTGAGAAAGTGGCTGTCCGAAGTGGATTGCAGTAATATACCCCATCTTGTCCTTCAAAACCGACGTAACGCAGCAGCGACTCCCCCTTACTTTGCTATGTGTGTTCTTCGTATCTGCACGAGTGCTGTGCGCACGAGTGCTCGCTTCCACTCTCACCCTCGTGGCTGTATCTTTGGGTGTACTCATCGGGAATCTGGGTTTGATACGTCTCGGGACTATGATGATCTACGTCATTACAAATTCTGCCATCGCTTCCGCGATCTATGTGTCCGATGGATGAGTACTGCGTTTCCAATTGTTCCTGTGATTATTCCATGGATTGCTTCGCTGATTCAGCTCTATCCTCTTCCCCCGAATGCGTCGCTGCTGTGTGCGCCTGCATGTGCGATGCTCTCCTGCATGCTCACCATTGTGAGAGGCTGAGCCTGCCTGCCACGGCCCAGCAAAACTTTGAAGCTCGCCTCCGTCTTTTGACTCGGAGGCATGTGGCTGTTGCCGAGGCACGTGCAGGGCCTGGGTGGCTTGCCCCTGCTGGTGTGTCTTTGGGAGCCGAAACAGCTATGTCTCAGGGTACGCAATGAACTTCAGGGGCAGTGTCGTCTCTGAACGCTGGCCTTTGGCTCTGGCCGCTGTGCCACTGGGGAAGTGGCGCGGCATTCATCATCTGATCGTGGCCCACGGAAACTGCGCGGCCAAAACCAAAGCCCTTGCAGCACCCGGTTCCGGAGCTGCGGGGGTGGCGATTGAGGCCCCGTGGCTAGTGACGCATTGGAGCGGAGACGACACGGCGACAAAAAATGATTGTTTCTTGAGACACTCGTTGAGGGCATCTTGAGCTCTCTCAGTGCGTTTCGGTGGCCTTCTAGGCCGTCTTGGGCCTACACGGAGCCCTCTTGGACCGTCTCGGGGGTCTCTTGGGGCCTCGTGGCCCGTATTCGGGCCTTTCTGGTTCCAGACAAGCCATGCGGGAGCACGCAGGCCGCCCTGAAACATCCGACAAGGTGGGGCCTGGGCTTATGTATCACTCCTTGGCACCAGGGGCCGGGACCCGAGCCGGGGCACCCTCCCAGATTGCCCCCGACCTTGTTGGCCTACAACATTTTTAACCCGTTTCGGGCCTAAGATGGCCCAAGAGGGCTCCAAGGGGGATCTAACAGGTGGAATTTTCAGTGGCATGTCGAGCCTTCTGTTCCCAGTGGGCCCCCAGGGCCGCCAGCAGGCCCCCAATGCCCCAAAAGAGGCCCCCAAACGACTTCCAAGAGGCCCCAAGAAGCTTCAAACGTCGCTCCACGAGGCGCCCGAAAAGCATGCCAACAGACCCCGAAGTACAGGTATCCAAGAATCATCTGGACCAGAACTCAGGCACAGTAGCAGCATGGGCCGAAGGCATGGGCAACCCGCTTGGCGACGGACCCATCCCTATGCAGCAATGCGTGCCGTAGGGCGTGGGTCTCTCTTCATATTCTGCGCGCCGCGGGGCGATACGAAAAGCGGGCCGCTGCGGAGCAAGCATGACCGGGTGCGCTGAATTCTGGATGGGGCACGATCCGCATGAAGGATGCGCCGACTAATTCGGATGCCCCCGCGCGAACATGCCCATTGAGGCCGCAGGTGGACCTCCTTGGCGCACGACCCGTGCAAGGGG